AGTATAAAATGGGTAATTGGCAAAGTTACATATTTTATTTAAGTTTTGTCGTCCCATCGGGATTTAAGATAAATAGGAATAAGAGTTTGTGTCTGCGAGCACATTTGTGCTCTATAAGATCTCCTGCGTAGTTGACTCGTCTCAAGTTAGAACTTAGATTGGCCGCTGTGGTCGAAATCAATTAGGGCATTATTAAAACTTTGCGTTCTTATTTCTCAGTAGGTACTATATTTTTCCAGTAGCGTAAAATTAGCAGAAGGAACTCGTAATGCTGCATTCGATTGATGAATAAGAGGATATCAAGGATAGCGAAAGTACTGGAGCCCAACCAACCACATATTATCACCCCTTCCTCTTTCCACTGCTTTTATCTCGGGTAAAAAAACGTGACTGCAATTCCTGCTTATCATTCCTCCATCCTACCATAAGGTTATATGCCTGTTTTACGTAGTTTAATAAATGATGAATAAACAATTATAACAAAAAAATATCCTATAAAACAAAGGATCTTTATTTATTTACATAAAATGCAAAAACGGTAATTCTCAATTTTCTCACCTACAGATACTTTTGGAAAATAAAAAAGTTATTTATATTAACTAAGTAGGTAAATATAAAATATTAATATATTTACCTAATTATCTAAAGTGAACAGGACTTTGGGGTTCATTCGATATACCACAGAATAGGGTGTTGATTTAATGCACTTTAAATTGATGACACGCATAACCTTTTGATATAAATTTACACGGACACTTGTTTATACTACAAAATGTACAATTCGATGACTCATAAATCATATGGCTTGGTATAAGTACTATAAGTTGAGTACTATGTAATCTGTGGTATAAGTATATTTATTATATTTAATAACAATGGATTACATTTGCGTATTAGGTTTTACATAATTAACAGACGAATTTGTTTTAAATATGATAAAGTAGGTATGTTTGTATACTCGTAGGTACATTTGTATACCAATCTTTTTCCTGTTTTATTGTATAGATTTAGTTTTATCTTTTAGGTAAACTTCAGAAGTTTTCAACCGACTTCAAAAAGGAGGAGGTTCTCAATTCGACTGTATTTTTTTTTATGTTTGTTACCTCAGAACTCCGTCATTTATTAACCGATTTGGACAATTTTTATGTTTTTTGAAAGTGTATACTTCCAGATTGGTTCCATTTAAATTTCAAAAAAAAATACCACCCCTAAGGGTGGAAAAATAGCTAATGATGAATTTAACCTACTTCTAACTGTCATATTGACTTGAAACTTTGCAAGTGTTTCTATTTCCGTTGATAGTAGTACAGTGGTTCGGTATTGTTGACCTGATCTGATGGTAAGGCCAGAAGGTGCATAGGTGGAACTCTTCAACGGCTAACAGTAGATACTTTGAGTTTGGGCTTATTTTGTTTAATTTGACAAGCCTAACACGTTAGAATTCTTACTTTGCTACTACTGTCTACACTAAAAAGGGAAAAATATAAACTTTTTAACAAAAAAATAAAAACCGACTTCAAACAAAAGCACTGAAAAGTAAAAAATAACTGATTGGTAGTTTTCATTTACTATACATACCTAATCAAATATTTTCGAAGTCGGTGTGCTTTGGCTAAGTAATTGAAGCCTACCTATTAAATACATACCTAATGAAATATTTTCGAAATCGGTGCCAGCCCATACAAAGCAAAGCACACCGACTTTTTGCACTTTAAACTTCTATAATAAAATTTGTAGCTTAGGTACTTAATACTTATGTATAATATTAAAATAAAAAAACTAGTAGGTACCTATAACATACAAGAGTTCTCCCCTCACGTAAGAAGTGATCTTTAAGATAGTAAGTGAAAAATTGCAAAATAATTTTACAGGATGTTTCAGAGGGGGATTGTAAATTACGCTTTTATACATCCTGCTTAACATAACAGATATATAATAATAAAAACAGACTATATTAGGATCGGATCTATGTAAGTATTTATTTTTAGCAAAATCGACATTAGAGGAAATAATGTAAATATAATTCGTGACACGGATTGTTCTAAATTAGGCAGTATTTCTCTCCCGTTCACCCCCCAAGCGATGTGTACAAGCGATAACAACAGGCAAATAATATATTACTTTTATATCCAGTAATTTCCTATTGAAGTGAAATATGTATTCAATATTAAAACATCGATTATAATAACATATCTCATGTTTTATTTGTTTAAAATGAGCCCGACGTCAGTGCAGGACAGCCGTCATTGATTTTGTCGCGTGATATCTCGACCGCCGCCGCACTTCCTCTCTACGCTGATCAATTTCGAACTCACGACTACAGACTACAGGCATTTATCGTCGCTACCACACTTTAATCAGTCGGTCAAGGAAGTACTCATTGTAACTTACATATAGAATATTTCACATTCATTATAATTTTGTTTGCTTCTAACGAGTTTAAGAAAACAAATTATCGATAGATAAATAATCTGATACAAAAATAATAAGTACTTAAAGAACATTTTATTTCTCAGTTTTTAGAATTATAACCGAACCGCTAAATTCAAGTAGGATATACGCTGTGAGTATGACTAATTGTTGACACTTATGAATGAAACAGGTATTTTACATTACGCGTAAAAGTGACCAACTTACCGCAAAGTTATACCTACGTAAACTAATGACTCACACTTCTTTAATCAAAATAACGGAAGTGAGTGAATAAGTTTTAGTAAGAAACGTAAAAACGCAATTGGCATAGCAAAATATTTTAAGAAAAACACTAAATCTTTAGCATTATTCTAAAAAAATATTTGAATAATTAATTATTTATGAGAATTATTTTTCTATATATTACAGTATTATTGTATTTCTATTTACTATTTAAAGTATCAAAAGTAAACAAAAAATTGTAGCGATGTAATTAACTCTGTCGAGAAACAATGAGGAGGATTCACAAGACAATATACGAGATTATTAATTTAAAAAAAACAAGACTATTAAGAGTAATTAAGAAATAAACATCATTTTATGAATATAATTGTTCGAAGTCTAAACACACACATGTTTTATTATGAATCAATATAATCGGTCAATGTATGACAAAACGAATAGGTAGGTTACATAAATAATTGTTTCCGCCTTTCCAATAACCAAGGAAGGACTCGCAATCTAAAGATCAATAGTTTATTTGTCATCAATTGAATGGACTCATTGAGCAAACACGTATTGTGATTGAATTATTATTGTAGAGCATACGATATTGTTATTATACCGACTAATGGTGGAAATATTTATATGGTAACGAACAAAGATTTACTACTTCTGTTAGGAAAATACTAACATTTTAGTAATATCACGGTAATATGCATAACATTACCGTGGTAATATACCTAACTGAAATAGGCATAGGTACGAGTTAAATGCGGTTACTGACTCAATTGTGGTTTCAAATAATTTGCTCGACATTACGTGTGTTATGTGACTGTTAAAATACCAATACGTCATTTGCAATACATAAATGGATATTACTTCTTAATTAATAACTTAATTGCGTGTCCATGTGCGTTTTAAATTTCATAATATATATGTATGTACTTATTTCCAAACAAGATTTTTGTTATATTTTACAAAGCACGTTTAAAATATAAGTCATATCTGCCCTCGTTTCAATAATCTCAATTACTCAATTTATTGCCGTGTTTAATGTCGTACTATACACTAAAACAGCAACTACACGCAACTCATTTATAAAAAAAGTTTCTTAAAAATATTATTTATCATTCATAAAAAGCGTGATCCTGTTTACCATAAAGTCTATACTTACGGTGTACCATAAAGTCTATACTTAGTGTGTACTTTCCTAATGGTCTATTCAACTATTGTGTTGTTATTCTACAAATTGACACTCATAAAAATTCCTTGAGACTATAACAATTTGGGGACATTAAGACGGTTGGTCCGACCACTATCATCTTACACACTTTGTAATATGTACTTTATATTTATAATTTCCTTTCAACCGTAGAAACCTTTTAAAAAAAAAATACCCAAAATATTTATATACGTATTCTGTATAAATACATTTTTAATAAGGTATCTTGGTCCTGAGTACTGATATCGCTTTTTACAGATTGTAGGCACATAATATACTCATATGATTCGTCTTAAATTTTTTTTTTAATTAAGTAATTAAAAAGCAATAAAGCGATTGTCGTGTGAATCCTCTTTTATGTCATTATAAGACATGAAAGTTATGATGAAGTAAATTATATATCATAATAGCGGTTCACTTTTGTCTCCCACGACGCGTCGCTCTATTGCTTAATAAATTATGTTGATTAAAATTTTAACTATTTTATTAACTATTATTACTGCTTTCACTGATGAAACGTTTTTTTTTAATTAAATTCAAAAATCACATGCAGACGATGTGATTGATACACGGAAGTTAAAGGTAGTTCCTTTATTAGAAAATCATATTTTAGTAAACATGTCTTGAATACAAATGAACTTGGGCTTTACAAATATTATTATAATATGTACGTGAGCGTGACTGTGAGTCGGCTTTTAAGTTTGGCTTATAAGGTACTAAGAAGGCGGATATTAGATAGGTACCTTAAATAATGCTTTCTTCGGATACTTAACCTTTAAATATGTATCTTAATAGTTATCCTAATGACTAAATATAGTACTTATTATTAAATGAATAAATGTGTTACATGACATTATAGATTTGCTCAAAAGGCATAATACCTATAAGTGGTGTTTTTTATTCTAATACCCACTTGTGGTGATTACACGGGTAAATTGACAAACCAAATGATAAGCAACACCTATTTATCATAAATCATAATAATTTATAATGTCTTTTATTCTTACAGAATTCCCGCAACTTGGTTTTAGCAAAACGACATCGACAAACACCTGTCAGGATTGCGACCTGACCAAGAGCAAAACAAGCAAAATAATATGCCTCTGAGACTTGAGAGTATATTTTAGTAATGTTATTCACTTACTTGTTGAACGTCTGTTCGTACTGTTTTATTTCTTTCCTGGTGAATTCGTGAAACTCAGTGTAAACGTTTACGAATTTATATTTCGGCTTGATCTCCAGGCCTTCTTCAAGTTTATCGTTTATAGCTTGCCTTCGCATAAGGATATCGTTGAGTTCTTCCGTGGCTGCCATTTTAGAAAGACGCGCGAAAATAAAGATTGAAAAATGTGCCTTTTCGGGCGGTTGAGATTTGAGCACTCGTCACAGACGCAGTTTACTACCGAACGACCTTACGAAGACTGGCAGCTTGGCCGGTCCGCGCTCCGCGGCCGGCAGTCGGCACAGCAGTCAGTGCGTCGCACTCCGCGCGCTCCCTTGTCTCACGATTCACAATCAAGTTGCGGGGGACGGACGAATCGACGCAACTATGTGCCGCGCACAATTCGACAATCTAACTAATCTTGCCAGTATCGACAGTCAACACACAAATAAAAGCTTAGTACCTAACTCATAAACCTTTACTATAAGAAGGCATTTACGAGGGTACATATTTGTATAGATTAGTATATTATTCATCAGAATATTGAGTGATATAGTGGCTTATACAATATACATACATAATATTATATACCTTAAGCCCAAGAGCACCTCAAGTTCACGGTGTCAAGGTTTAGGTCAGGGTTATAAGAAGGCAAATATCAACTTATTTACTACCTGCTCTACTGTTTGGAACAATAACAAATATTGAACTTATGGATAAACGCAGATATACTTAATTTAATAATGGTCTTATATGGCTCTACTTTAACGAAGAGCATACACAAAACTCAACTTCAACCAACTTCAAAAAGGAGGAGGTTCTCAATTCGACTGTATTTTTTTTTATGTTTGTTACCTCAGAACTCCGTTATTTATTAACCGATTTGGACAATTTTTGTGTTGTTTGAAAGTGTATACTTCCAGATTGGTCCCATTTAAATTTCAAAAAAAAAATACCACCCCTAAGGGTGGAAAAATAGCTAATGATGAATTTAACCTACTTCTAATTGTCATATTGACTTGAAACTTTGCAAGCGTTTCTATTTCCGTTGATAGTACAGTGATTCGGTATTGTTGACCTGATCTGATGGTAAGGCCAGAAGGTGTATAGGTGGAACTCTTCAACGACTAAAGTAGATACTTTGAGTTTGGGCTTATTTTGTTTGATTTGACAAGCCTAACACTTTAGAATTCTTACTTTGCTACTACTGTCTACACTTAAAAGGGAAAAATAAAAACTTTTTAACAAAAAAATAAAAACCGACTTCAAACAAAAGCACTAAAAAGTAAAAAATAACTCCTGTAGAACAATAAATATTCTTTCTAAATGAGATAGCCTTTCAAAGAAATGTTCACATTTCGAGAGTACATCGTCTACATAAACTTGACAAACTTGCTCTGTTATTTACTACATAAATTCCTAATAAATAAAAATTTGAAAACCTATACGATTACTATTAAAGATAAAAAAAACCAATCCATTAAGATTTAGATGTGAGCTTATTTTTAATTCTAACCCACGCATCATTTATACCAAATTTTTCATTTTGTGGTCGGGGTTATGAGGATCCCGTATAATTTATAATACTCTCCGTTAAAAAAATAAAATCGAATAAACTCCAATATTCTTTCATTGCTCCAAACCATACTGTGGTTGCGTCGTCACTTTCCCGCCAAAATATCACACGTCCGTTCCGCTCAAAGTCTGGTCTTCAACTCAAATGTGAAATGGCGAAACGTCATGCTTAGCCACGCAAGCGAATATTGTCGCACTAAAACCCTTTGATGTGCGCCAGTTTACCGACAGTGCCGTGATAATCATATGTCATCGCCCAAATACTACGCGTACGCGATGCGCCGAACTACTCGGCCACACTTGTGGCGCTAACACGAATATTCGCTGCGCTATCTTTATATATATAATTCTTCTGTGAGTGTGTATGTCACTGAACTTCTCTCAAACGACTGGACCGATTTTGATGAAATTTTTTGTGTGTGTTCAAGGGGATCTGGGAATGGTTTAGATTCACAATTTGAATAATAATTTTCATTAAAAAAATTATTAAAAAAAGTTTGAAATTTTCAAATTAAAGACGTGTAGACAGGACAACGTCTGTCGGGTCCGCTAGTAAGACTATAAAATGTATGTATGTATGTACGTATTTAACCTTGTATTTATTATTAACATTGTTAGTTCTCGCTTTCGTCAACGAACGTTAAACCTGTTTCGAGATATTTAAACAGAACTATCTATGAATTTCTTATCTAATCAACAAAATAAAGAAAGGGTTAAGTATAGGAGACTTTGTCGCACGTTTGTAGATCAGGTTTAGGTTAGGTATACCCGGGTTTTCTAGTTGTATTTGTTTTTTAATATTTTCTATTTTTTTATGATGCTAATGTAAATAGACATATACTGTCGACAATATTTTAAGATATGAATATCTAATAGGTAAATATTATGTATTTTACTTATCGAAATATATTAGACTTGCTTTGCATAGGCTAGCACCGACTTCGAAAATATCTGATTAGGTATCTATTCTAAATGAAAACCCCCGTTTAGTTGTTTTTACATTTTAGTGCCTGAAAGTCGGTTTTTATTTTATTTTTTAAAAGTTGTTATTACATTTAATACTTAAAGGACAGTAAGAAATATAAATACTACAATGTGAATTTTATTATTGAACTAAGTATATGCATTTTATTATTATGAACTTCAACTTTTCCGTTAGAGTAGGAGATAATAGACCTTTACAGACCAACCGGCGACGGACAGAACAGATAAGTATTAGGGTTCCATTTTTTCCTTTTAGGTAAGGGACTTAAACAAGTACCTACACAGTTTCTTGTACTTGCTAATAATTAAAAGTGAAATATGAATTTAATTAATCTCCAGGTGCAGAATTTAACGGTGATGAAGTGTCCCCTTATATTAACACTAGCGGACCCGACAGACGTTGTCCTGTCTACACGTCTTTAATTTGAAAATTTCAAACTTTTTTTAATAATTTTTTTGATGAAAATTATTATTCAAATTGTGAATCTAAACCATTCCCAGATCCCCTTGAACACACACACAAAATTTCATCAAAATCGGTCCAGTCGTTTGAGAGAAGTTCAGTGACATACACACTCACACAAGAATTATATATATAAAGATATTACCTACTAGCGGCTCACCCTCGCTTCGCTCGGGTTCGTAGAGAATAACACTAATAGAGATCTATTAGTTCCCACGGGAACCCCACATTTTTCCGGGATAAAAAGTAACCTATTTATTATTCTGATGTATGACCTATATTATTGTAAAGTTTCATCAAAATCCAATCAGTAGTTTTTGTGTACTAAGCTGTGTAAATTACTATAGTTTTTTGACTGTTTCACGGGAACCCTTTAATTTTCCGGGAAGAAAAGTAGCCGATTTGTTATTATCATATATGAACTATATTATTGTAAAGTTTTATTAAAATCCAATTTAAAAAAACTATTTGATTTTCCGGGATAAAAAGTATCTAAGATGTTGCCCGGGGATATAAGGTACCACCACGCAAAATTTCATTTAAATCGGTCTAATAGATTCGGAGATTAGCCCGTACAAACAGACAGAGAAACAAAAAATTTGAAAAAAATCCGGATTTGTTCTATTTGTCTTCTTACCTCCCCCTGACTCGGTTTTTAGCATTTTTTTGCTATGTACAGACATTCGACCTGTACTGTTTTCTTATAGGATAGAAGATATTATAATTTATAGTAAAATCGATTGTCGAATGATGTTGTCTAGTTAATTAAATATTTTAATACTTTCAACGTCAAGACTTAAAAGGAATTTAGTCTTTACAGCACAAAGGAAACTTCTCCATTCTTCTACAATATGTGCTTGGTGGCAGAAGTAAAAGCAGAGCTGTCTATCGTAAAATGATTAGATAATACTTACTCGTAGATTATTCATATAAATAATCTAAGAGATAATAATATAATTTATTACTTATCTTCTTCATTATAAAAACTTTTTAATAAAAAAATAAAAACCGACTTCAAACAAAAGCACTAAAAAGTAAAAAATAACTGATTGGTAGTTTTCATTTACTATACGTACCTAATCAAATATTTTCGAAGTCGGTGTGCTTTGGCGAAGTAATTAAAGCCTACCTATTAAATATATACCTAATGAAATATTTTCGAAATCGGTGCCAGCCCATACAAAGCAAAGCACACCGACATCGAAAATATTTGATTAGGTATGTATAGTAAATGAAAACTACCAACCAGTTATTTTTTAATTTTTAGTGCTTTTGTTTGAAGTCGGTTTTTATTTTTTTATTAAAAAGTTTTTCTAGTGAAGAAGATAAGTAATAAATTATATTATTATCTCTTAGATTATTTATATGAATAATCTACGAGTAAGTATTATCTAATCATTTTACGATAGACAGCTCTGCTTTGACTTCTGCCACCAAGCACATATTGTAGAAGAATGGAGAAGTTTCCTTTGTGCTGTAAAGACTAAATTCCTTTTAAGACTTGACGTTGAAAGTATTAAAATATTTAATTAACTAGACAACATCATTCGACAATCGATTTTACTATAAATTATAATATCTTCTATCCTATAAGAAAACAGTAGAGGTCGAATGTCTGTACATAGCAAAAAAATGCTAAAAACCGAGTCAGGGGGAAGTAAGAAGACAAATAGAACAAATCCGGATTTTTTTCAAATTTTTTGTTTCTCTATCTGTTTGTACGGGCTAATCTCCGAATCTATTAGACCGATTTAAATGAAATTTTGCGTGGTGGTACCTTATATCCCCGGGCAACATCTTAGATACTTTTTATCCCGGAAAATCAAATAGTTTTTTAAATTGGATTTTAATAAAACTTTACAATAATATAGTTCATATATGATAATAACAAATCGGCTACTTTTCTTCCCGGAAAATTAAAGGGTTCCCGTGAAACGGTCAAAAAACTATAGTAATTTACACAGCTTAGTACACAAAAACTACTGATTGGATTTTGATGAAACTTTACAATAATATAGGTCATACATCAGAATAATAAATAGGTTACTTTTTATCCCGGAAAAATGTGGGGTTCCCGTGGGAACTAATAGATCTCTATTAGTGTTATTCTCTACGAACCCGAGCGAAGCGAGGGTGAGCCGCTAGTAGGTAATATCTTTATATATATAATTCTTGTGTGAGTGTGTATGTCACTGAACTTCTCTCAAACGACTGGACCGATTTTGATGAAATTTTTTGTGTGTGTTCAAGGGGATCTGGGAATGGTTTAGATTCACAATTTGAATAATAATTTTCATCAAAAAAATTATTAAAAAAAGTTTGAAATTTTCAAATTAAAGACGTGTAGACAGGACAACGTCTGTCGGGTCCGCTAGTGTTAATATAAGGGGACACTTCATCACCGTTAAATTCTGCACCTGGAGATTAATTAAATTCATATTTCACTTTTAATTATTAGCAAGTACAAGAAACTGTGTAGGTACTTGTTTAAGTCCCTTACCTAAAAGGAAAAAATGGAACCCTAATACTTATCTGTTCTGTCCGTCGCCGGTTGGTCTGTAAAGGTCTATTATCTCCTACTCTAACGGAAAAGTTGAAGTTCATAATAATAAAATGCATATACTTAGTTCAATAATAAAATTCACATTGTAGTATTTATATTTCTTACTGTCCTTTAAGTATTAAATGTAATAACAACTTTTAAAAAATAAAATAAAAACCGACTTTCAGGCACTAAAATGTAAAAAACAACTAAACGGGGGTTTTCATTTAGAATAGATACCTAATCAGATATTTTCGAAGTCGGTGCTAGCCTATGCAAAGCAAGTCTAATATATTTCGATAAGTAAAATACATAATATTTACCTATTAGATATTCATATCTTAAAATATTGTCGACAGTATATGTCTATTTACATTAGCATCATAAAAAAATAGAAAATATTAAAAAACAAATACAACTAGAAAACCCGGGTATACCTAACCTAAACCTGATCTACAAACGTGCGACAAAGTCTCCTATACTTAACCCTTTCTTTATTTTGTTGATTAGATAAGAAATTCATAGATAGTTCTGTTTAAATATCTCGAAACAGGTTTAACGTTCGTTGACGAAAGCGAGAACTAACAATGTTAATAATAAATACACGGTTAAATAGGTACATACATACATACATTTTATAGTCGTACTAGCGGACCCGACAGACGTTGTCCTGTCTACACGTCTTTAATTTGAAAATTTCAAACTTTTTTTAATAATTTTTTTGATGAAAATTATTATTCAAATTGTGAATCTAAACCATTCCCAGATCCCCTTGAACACACACAAAAAATTGCATCAAAATCGGTCCAGTCGTTTGAGAGAAGTTCAGTGACATACACACTCACAGAAGAATTATATATATAAAGATAGCGCAGCGAATATTCGTGTTAGCGCCACAAGTGTGGCCGAGTAGTTCGGCGCATCGCGTACGCGTAGTATTTGGGCGATGACATATGATTATCGCGGCACTGTCGGTAAACTGGCGCACATCAAAGGGTTTTAGTGCGACAATATTCGCTTGCGTGGCTAAGCATGACGTTTCGCCATTTCACATTTGAGTTGAAGACCAGACTTTGAGCGGAACGGACGTGTGATATTTTGGCGGGAAAGTGACGACGCAACCACAGTATGGTTTGGAGCAATGAAAGAATATTGGAGTTTATTCGATTTTATTTTTTTAACGGAGAGTATTATAATTTATACGGGATCCTCATAACCCCGACCACAAAATGAAAAATTTGGTATAAATGATGCGTGGGTTAGAATTAAAAATAAGCTCACATCTAAATCTTAATGGATTGGGTTTTTTTTTTATCTTTAATAGTAATCGTATAGGTTTTCAAATTTTTATTTATTAGGAATTTATGTAGTAAATAACAGAGCAAGTTTGTCAAGTTTATGTAGACGATGTACTCTCGAAATGTGAACATTTCTTTGAAAGGCTATCTCATTTAGAAAGAATATTTATTGTTCTACAGGAGGCTGGATTTTCAATTAATATTGAAAAAACTGCATTCTTTAAATGCTCCATTGAATATTTGGGCAATGTTATATCGAATAGTCATGTAAGTCCAAGCCCAAATAAAGTGGAGGCTTTAACGAAAGCGCCTTTTTCAAAAACGGTTAAACAAGTAAGACAATTTAATGGCCTTGCTTACTTTAGACGTTTCATTCCCAATTTCTCGTATCATGGTTCCATTATATGAATTACCAAAGAAAGATGTGAAATGGGAATGGAACGATCGTCACGAAAAATCTCGAAACCATATTATTCAATTCTTGTCTACAGCTCCTGCTCTTTCTCTATTTCAGGAAGATGCACCGGTAGAACTCTATATTTCGGCTATGGAGCCGTACTAATCATCGGAGGCTGCCATCATCTAATTGCTTATATGAGTCAACGGATGACTGACACGGAGATCTGTTATCATTCCCATGAGCTGAAGACGCCGAAGGCTTTCTTCAAAATTATTATTTCGGAATAGAATATAGAAAGGGGGAAGATTACAGCATGCAGACTTTTTAGTAGAAATCCATCAGAGATAATGGTTAATATTATGACATGAGATTCCAAATGGGTACAGATTGAACAGCAGAGAAGTGAATCGTTGCGCCCACTTATTTTTTACAATTAAAGATAACCCAAGTTTCAAGCGAATTGTTAACAATTTTATACTTGGCACTCGTACAGCTATTGTGGTTCCTAAATCTTGCCATTGGAGTATCATTAACTTATATCATACTGTATTTCATCACCAAGGATTAGAAAAACTCAAAGAATCTTACTGGTTTGACAAAATGAACTCTATCATAAGACAATTTATTGCCAACTGTATTATGTGCAGAACATCATGACTCATTCAAGCACAACATCCTATTCAAAAGCCTACTGCAACATTTCAAGTCATTCACATGGACATCACGAGTAAACAGGGTACAAAATATTCTGAAGAATATCATGAGTGTTATAGTCATAATGTTTTTATAAAGTATGTTTTACGTAATTATTCGGCAGACAAGAGCGAAGGTAGCAGCCTAGCAGCATTAAAAAGTATTCTTCATCTTTTTGGTATGCTAATACAAGTGGTTGTTGAAGGAGGTCCAGAATTTCTTGGTGAATTTAAATCTTACTTTAATCATTACGGTATCAATGTGGATGTTATACCTCCAAGAATCAGCCAAGCGAATGGACAAGCGGAGAGAGTTATATGTATGTTAAAAAATGCTTTGACTATGATTAAAAACTATAAAACCGAAAATTACAAAACTGCACTAGAAACTCTGCAACTTGCATTTAATTTCACTCGTTATCGTGTACCAGGTGTAATTCCACTGACTCTTGACACGTCGTCAGCACTGTGTTCCAGCTGAGCTTTGAGATTACTAAACCTTGATGGTGAATCTGTTGACTTTGATTTGCTTGAACAACATGTATTTAAGAAAATGGCTAAAGATGCAGAAAATACGAAGCAGCGATTAAAAACAATACCTAGGCCACAACATCTGCGGACCACAGCTTTCATGACCGCTTAGTACCACAGTATCAGTTTTTTTAGGAAAATGTAATACAGTGTATATATGCACTAAAATGATACAAAATATTTACTTGCTTTCCTATGAATAGTAAATTATATTTACTAAATAAGTAATTAAATTATAATTTACTTGTTCATTTTTTTATTGTATATATGAATAATTATAACTTGCAACTATAGCAAAAACTTCCTGATATCTATGTTGACTATGTTATGTGGTCAATAAAAAAATATATACTTTGTTTTTGAAAGGTAAAAGAGTGGATACCTAGTTTAAATAATATCATTTCAATTTTAGAACCGTGACTGTTGCTGAGCACTCACCGTCTCGCAGAATGGCCGTTTCGACACAGAGCTGCCCAAGTTGACAAAAGACTAATACAATAATTACTTAATTTATCAGTCAAAATCTAAATTATTAACTGTATTTTATGATTAATTTTAGTAAAAAATAATGAATACATGACACTATGCTAACATTTTATTTATGTAAAATTAAAATACTAATAAAAAGAAGAGCGCTTGTTTCTTCAAATATTTGATAATTAACTATTGTAATTATTTTTCCATAAGTAATAGGTAGTGTTTAAACCTATTCTAAATTAATGTCTTAATTTATAAGTGATTGTCTATAGGTTTTTACAAAATATTTTTGTTTATTTAATTTAAAGCAATAATTTATTTAAGTTTGTTAATACAAACAAAAATAAAAAGTTATTCTAAATTTAAAACTTGATTTTATAAATAATTATCTATTGATATTACAATTTTTTTTTAATTTAGTGAAGTAAACTGGGTAATAAAGTTAGAATTGATGTGAAAAAGTCAAACTATTTTAAAGAAAACTATCTTTTCGGTTTTTTTCGCGAATTTATTTTGATTTTTGGTTCCCGACGTTTCGAATTTTACAGCAATCATGGTCACGGGAGCTCTCCACCAAACCAAAAATCAAAATAAATTCGCGAAAAAATCCAAAAAGATAGTTTTATTTAAAATGTCAAGTATTCGCGTAAATATAAGAAAGTATTAAGTCAAACTAAGTATTTTAATTTGATGGTTTTAACTAAAATTTAAATAAGAAATAGTTTTATAATTTAAAGAAATTAAAAACTACAATTAACTGTAATCAAAAACACTAAGTAATTACAAAATGATTGCTGTATTGATTAGAGCGGGGCCCGGTGAGTTCTCATAACGCCATCATTAAAAATTGTAAAATGGAGTAAACACATGGCTATTTTAGAAGGATTGTGTATTATTATAAAAAGGGTGTGGTAAGTGTGTGGACGGCTTTCTTAAAAAAGTGTGAGTAGTTTTTATTTTGTTTATAGTAAAAATTCGGAGTACATTTAATTTGAATAATAATAAAAATTCGACCAAAAATCTTATTTTGAGAGTGGAAATGGTAAGGAAAGATTTTATTTTGTTAGTTAAAATTCTGAGTAGATTGTATTTGGTTAATAATAAAAATTATAAGTAATGATTTATTTGATTACAATTAGTAATTTAATAATAAAGGAAAAATATAAAGTTTTAATTATTCTAGATCTAGATTGTTTTATTTATTTTCAATGTGTGATAAAGCAAATGGCAATGCCAACTGTCCAACATGGCTGACGTCATTGTTAATAATAATATAAGTTCTGTTTGTACCAATGATTCGTTATATACATATATTATTTTAAAAATTAACTAAAACGTGAATAAACAATAAAAAAAATTTGATACCCATTGTTGAATAATTTTAGAATTTTGCTTATCTATCTATACGGGCCTCCTCACGTGCCCAGGGCCTCCAATAGGTTAAAGACGGCCTTGAGCTACTACTTGGAAACTACTTTTTTTATGAGATTATTAATAGAACAAAAATAGTCAAGTGCGAGTCAGTCTTGTGAACAACGATTTCGTACATACACAAAGTAGACATGTATTATGTAGTGTAGTCACCAATAAAACCTATAGATTAGATACGTGTAGACACCCTGTTTTCCAATTAGAGCACTGAAGCGCATTATGCGGCATATTAGTACAACTTCGAATGTTTCAACTACAGAAAGGCTCCGTAGTCCGTTCAATCGACCATTTTGAAAAGTACTGCTTGCTTTGGCGTGATGCGTGCGAGGATACCAACTCAATAGTAGAAAATATGAGAAGTTTTTTTTTCAGGTCGCATTGATCAAAATTTTATTTACATTATCGCTAGTAATATTTATTTATATTTTATTTAAGTATATAATTATACATTAATTAGTTATACATTATTATATATTTTTTATATAATTCATAATATCGACGATATGTACTATTATATACTTACTAGCAGAGCCCGCAGCTTCGCTCGCGCTAAAACTACAAAAAATCTCTAAAAAGGTAGTTTCATACTAACTTTCATCCCCTATTTTACCACCATAAAGGATGAATTTAAAAATATGTTAAATCACGTGTTTATTTTATTGAAGAGTATTAATACCAAGTTTCAAGTAATTTTGATCATAAATATTTTTTGGACTGTATTATAGCGTATTTTTCTGTGGGAATTAGATAATCTCCCGCGGTAAAAGTAGCCTATGTCACTCTCCAGCCCTCCAACTATCTCCACACAAAAAAAATCACGCCAATCTGTCACTCTGTTTCGACGTAAAAGAAGGACAAACAAACAAATACACTTTCACATTTATAATATTAGTATGGATTAGTATGGATTTTATATGTTACGTCAAGATGCATAATAGTATAGTAGGTAGGTACTATATATTATAATTATATAATTTATTTTTATAACATTAGATATATAATTTTATAATATTGTACAAATGTACACGTGTGGGTTTATCAGTTCGTCATTATTTTACGTTAGTTAATTTCCAGACTCCTTTAATTCAATTTACTCCAAAACTAATGGTTACGTCATATTTTGTTTATGCAATAACATTAAGAAAAGTGTCATTCTTCGAATTATTTCTTATTTCGGAATAGGCAGATTGGTATCCCATGGGATGACAGTAATGGGTTTATCTCATTCTAAATGAACCGAGCCCCAACAATAATACTCATCAAAAGATCATTAGGAATAGAGACGTCAGTCACTTGTGGTCAACATGAAGAGACACTCAAGGTAATTTATTGTTTTACTGTATAATTAGGTACACTCTATGTGTATAGTTTGTTTGTTTAGAAAAATATTTTTCGTAAGTCATGTTTTTTTTAATAATAAAATGTACTTACATACTTGATACTAGTATATTATGTATTACACAAGCGACTCACTAGGTACGTTTTAACGGTTAGTTTGGAATAGATAGACTAAGTATATATTATATGGTATATCTATAGCCTACTAGCGGCTCAGCCTCGCGTCACGCGAGTTCGTCCCTAGGTACGTTTTGACTGTTAAGAGTGTGAAAAATTATTGATTCCCCATACAAACTTCCACTCCCTTATGAGATGATTTCCGGGGTAAAAACTATCGTATGTTCTTCCCAGGGTCTCAAACTATCTCCATACCAATTCCCATCTAAATCGGTTCAACCGTTTGGTCATTCGTCAAGAAACAAACGAAGTTACTTTCGCATTTATAATAAAAATATAAAGTATAACCTTCCTCAATAAACGGGCTATCTAATGCAAAAAAAAAAATTCAAATCGGATTAGTAGTCCCTGAGATCAGCGCGTTAAAACAAAGAATCTCTGTCTCTTTATAATATTAGTATAGATTTAATGAAAATATTTGCGAAAGCTTTTACACTTAGCAAAGACACGGATAAATGCTACTATACCACAATGTGCTTGAATGGATATTTCAGAGCAACGACACCGAGATTTTATTGTACTTATAGTAAAAATTAAGGCCTTTTGTAACATTCTTTTAGGTCCGAGAGCGTTGGAAACATTTCAGAAAATAACTTCGAAGAAATAGAACAAACGATTGGAAATGAAAATATAAAAACAAAGAAGAAACCAATAAGTTTATTTAAACAATACTTGATAGATTATACTGCCAACTCTAATTTACACGGTTTGAAATATATCGGAGACAAGGAACGAACTTTGGTTGAAAAGTGAGCGATGTCCCGATTCCATATACCTATATACCTATATATATATAATATATATATATATATATATATATATATATAAAAGAAAGGAATAGGTAAGTATTAAAACATATAATTAAAATGTGAGAAAGAAAGATTTTTTCTTTTTATATCTATTTAAAACGTACCTAGCGACGAACCCGAGCGAAGCGAGGGTGAGCCGCTAGTATAATATATATAATATATATTACGAAATAGCAATTATATATATATATATATATATATATATATATACATTTGACAAATATGGTAAAGTAACAAGCAGGACACGTTAGTCTTATAAATAAAACGTGTAAAAAGTAGTTTCAAATTGCCGAGTAGATCGATGAATCTAGATTTTAGACCTATTTTATTTTTGTTACAGAAATAAACTAGACAGAATACTAATTAATAGCTTTTTTTAGAATCTTCTGGCTTTTTATGTTTATTTGCTGTGTGATACTCTGCTCTGGTCTCATACGTAGAGTTTGGATAAAATGGGATGAAAGCCCTGTGATTGTAAGCTTTGCTGAAAAGTCTACACCAGTGTGGCAGGTATAAATAAAATATAGTATTCTAATTAATTTTCTAAATATTTTTGAATTTATATATTTTTTTTCGACGTTTGGAAAAAATAATAGAGTAAAGTTTTTACGATGTGCTTGTTGCCATGGTAACCGTTGTTATTGTCTGACAAGTGATATTATATGATATTATATTGTTTCCTTAATTAAATGATATTATATAAATATTTGATTGC